GGTTCTTCAGGAATCTTCCCTTGGCTGAGATTCTGTTTCCCTTCTTTCTTACCAATAGGTACCTCTTGCTAGTAGTTTCTGGCATTTTCTTCCACATCTTTCACACTCACAGTGCACACTGGTCTGCACCTTGTTCCATGTCCTTATCTAACAAGCTGGATTTTCAACCTTTTGGTGGACATTCGTTTGCAATCTTTGGCTCTTTCACCCAGTGTTGCAATGGATAACAGCCTGCCCATGTCACTTTGCAGAAATGCTTGCAAGGAGTTGGCTAAATTCCTAGAAGTAGAACTGGCCAGGCAGAAGCTACAGACTTTTATGCTTTTTGGTACGTATATTTCAGGATTGCTCCCCCTACCCCACCTGGTTATGCCAGTTAACACCTCCACCAGGAACAGTGAGAGAATGTTCTCCCAAATGCTTGTCAGCCGGCAAGCTGGTGTTATGAAACTTTAGCAGTCTCAAAAGGGAAAGGAGTAAACTCAGTGTGATTTCTAAATTTTCCTATTTCATGTGATCACTGAGGTTGGGTCTCTAGCTAAGTGGTTTGAAACCATTTGTGAGCGTAACTTATTTAGAATTTTTTTTTTTTTTTTTTTTTTAGGGCTTGATGTGTGTTTAGCCATGGGATGCCAGGTCACCCAAAATAGCCAGGCAGATGCATGGATCAGTATACTGTATGATTCACACCAGGAAAGAGATAGATGGTGACTAAGGAGTCAAAGTCCATTTCATCCTGGTGACCAGGACTCCTCGAGGAGAAGGGACGAGGTCTGAGGCCTGAGGAGGAGTTTGGGCAGGCAGAGGGCAGAGCACATAATCCTGCCAACCCTGTGTGAGGAGCAGAGGGAGGCCTTTGTGTGGCTGCTGGAGGGAGTGGGGGGTGAGCTGGTGTCAGAGGGGCTAGCTCCCTGGGCATTTGGGATCATGGTGAGGAGGTGGGATTTTATGATGAGTTTCAGATAGATTTTTAGTCATGGGCTGAGGACATGGTACCCACATCTGTAAATACTTTGCGGACAGTTCACCTGGCTGACTTCAGGGAGGTGGGTTCCTGTGCACAGGCACCTGTTGGGCTGAGCTGTGTTTGCCACAGGCGATCACAGCAGGGGTGACATTGTGTATGGGTCTGGTACTCAGGACACTGCATCTCTTGCCTGGCCCTTTCCTCAGTGTGAGACCAGTGACAAAAACTTTGCCTAAATATGGGCATGGTGTCATTTTATAAAAATATGTGCTACCTCTCCCAGGAAAAAAAACTCCAACTCTGAGGCCACAGCTCTCCTGCTTCACATACAGCTGAATACCTGCGGCCCTGTCATCTGGGGAAGGCACTGAGGAGAGGGTCTCTCTCTACTGGACGTCATCTTTTAAGCTGGCCTCTTTGGATCCAGGACTATGAAATGGCTTTTCTTAGGAGTATCTCAGCAGGGCCCTGAGGATGGGGGGGTGTACGAGACCACAGCACAGGGCTCCTGATGGCACTAAGTCCAGAGATACTTCACCTCGTGAAGAACAAGGGCGCCGGGACAAAATATTGTTGATCAGACACTTGGGCCTATTGTTAAGGCAAAATTATTACCAATGTTTATTCGTGATCAGGGCAGAGTAAGGGTTGTATGTGTGAGTGTGTGTGCATGTGTGCTTGTGGTGTGCTGGGGCAGTGTCTGGCATGAAGGTCTCAGGAATGGCTGGTCCTGGGAGGCACCTCAGGGATCAGGTTTTCGTGGACACAGGAACATCTGGGCAGGGAGTGGGAAGGTGCAAGGTCAGCTAACCCTTCAGGGGCTTTACCTCCTGGTCCAGGGAACAGAGGCAGGGCTTGCTTCTGAGAAGAAGGTATTGCACAAGTGAATTTCAGGAGCTCACCCCAGACACAAGTGCCCCAATCAGATGTAACATGGAATGGATTTTGTCACTTGATAGTGCCAGGTAAAAGAGGCAGCAAAAGGAGCATTTACGATAGAAAAGTCTAGAAACATACTTATGAAATTTGAAATGTGCCTGTGCTTATTATAATGGAAATAAGTATTTCTGATTCATAGGTTTTTAGGCTTTGGGTTTTCCCAGATCGATGTACAATTGACTGAATGTTTGTGTCCCCTCAATTCTTTTGTTGAAACTCTAATACCTCATGCTGGCATTAGGAGGTGGGGCCTTTGGGAGATGACTTAGGATGTGAGGGTAGCTCTCTCACGAATGGTTACGGCACCTTTTGAAGAGGCCAGAGAATGAGGAAGCCTTTTTCCACTGTGTGAAGATACAGTGGGAACTCAGCCATCTGCAGTCCAGGAAATCTGGGCTCTGACCAGACTCCACATCTGCTGGCGTCTTTATGTGGGACTTCCACCCTCCAGAGCTATGAGAAATAATTGTGTGCTGTCTAAGCCACCTGATCTACGGTAATTTGTTATAGCAGCCCATGATAGGACACTATGTTCAATCAATCCATGACAGTGGTATGACTAGTTTTAAAGAACAAAATTTCAGTAAGGACTTGAGCAATTTTTATGTCTAAATATTTGCTGAATCAATGAACAAATGAATGAGACATTACTATCTAACTAGGTGGTGCCATGCTGATGTCTGTTGTGGAAGTGTAACTTCTTTTATCACTCGAGGAAAAATTATTATAAGTGAGCAAAGTTACCCCCTGTCTTTTTTCTAAAGATGCTGAACTTCTCATTGAGGAAGTTCTTCTCGTCTATGGTAAATGGTGTCACATTTGAGGACTAGACCTGCTTGTTCATTTCTGCCTATGCTATATTCCAACATGGGCCACAGAACCCGCACATTCCAAAGTCATGATTTTGTCCCCTAGAGATGGATGTGGCTTCCCTAAACCTATTCCCGCAGTTAGTGAGAGTGTGGAATGTTACTGGAAATTCTGCAGCAACTATCCGTAGACTTTTTATAGCCTATGACTTTATTTTTGGGGGCCTTGATCTCTCTTGCTCTGGTCTAGGCCAATTAGCAGCTCTCTAGTCTTAGAGGCTGTGCAAATAGCACTCGACCTCCCTGCCCAGGTATCCACCTCACCTGGCCATTCTAGGACCAGACCAGGTCACTAGTTATCCATCTCCTCCATGCAAAATCTGGGAGCTTTTCAGACATTATCTGTCCTCCTTTCATGGGTTTTATTATTGTTATTTTGTGTCTAAGAAAACCAAGGCTAGTAGGTGAGTTTCTTCAGGTTATAGCAAACAAATCAGTCAGGGTTTGAACATGGATCTGTTGACTCCCAGACTTCTTTAAGTGTCATTGTGCTGAAATAATAAGGAGATCATCAGTTTACAGAATAGTTGTTTGTAAGATGTCATTAAAGTCATCATGTACACCTGCCCACTGAAGTTATTCTGAGTCCATTCATATCAAGTATGTGGTTCAGTCTCTCTTCCTCCATCTACCTCTAGGAGGTATTAGGCTGACACTTGATAACTGTAATCTTGTTTTTTAAAAAGGTAGCATAGGAAAGTATTATTTTTTAGCCTCTGGAATGGTCTGTAGATAATTTTTAAGCCGAAATCAATACAAATGAAGTCTCTGTAACAATCCGTACAAATTCATGCATAATAGAAATGTTTCCCTGGAATAGTTAAACAGATTCTGCTTGAAGTAGGTCGGGGGTGGGGAGAAACCTGGTTTCACAAATAGTATCATCTGTCTGTTAAAGCATCCGAAAACCGTATGCAAAGATTCATAGGATTTCTTTCCTGGAGGGAAAATATATGATTATAGTCAGCAGTGACCAATTGTGTACTGAAACTCAGTTGATTTGAACAATCTCATGTGAACTTGCCGAGATGACCTCTTTGAATAAATTTCCCTCAAGGTTTAAGCATTTCTCTAGATTAACACCGCGGGTTCTTGAGCTGACTCATGGGGAAAAGGGGAGGTCGTATTTCTGCTATTGTAATAATGTGGGAAATTACACCCAGCATCACTCACCGTGCTGGGATATTTATCATCAACCTCAAACTCTGCGATTTATTTAAGTGCAAGATTACAATTCTAAGCCACCCCCCCGTTGAAATTTTTTTTAAGTTGGTAAGGTAGTGTGCCATCATACATGGAAACTAGGTTCATAGAGAAATGATAAATACTGGGTGTTGGAGGTAGAAGCAGACACTTCCTTTAGTCTGGAGCTGACGTCCAGACCATAAATAATTAGTCTAGGGAAACCTGGTATGTGGAAATAAGTCCTCAGAGGTAAACTCTTCTTTTTTAGCCTGGCCTCAGTCTACTTGGATCAGTGTTGAAAATGGGTGCTGCTACCTTAATGAATTGACTCAGTTATACACAGAGAGGACAAGTGAACAGCGTCGCTCTCCGGGACATGGGTCAGTGGTTGTCAATCTTGGCTGCCTATTGGAACCATCTGGGGAGCCTTGAGAACCCTGATGCCTGAACCCTGCCTCCAGAGGCTCTGAGGTGATGGGTTTGAATGCAGCCTGGGTTTTTAAAACTCCCCAGGTGACTACTCTATGCAGTTAGTACAATGTGGGCTGGGAACCACTGACCCGGGAAGCAGACAGTCATCAAATCAGGAACTCATCCAAGTACACGAGAAGCTGGCTGTACCAAGGGGGCACAGAGTGACTGCCAAATCCTGCCCACTGGGAGGAATTTAGGTCTATTTTCCCTGAAAATGTTTTCCCTGGAGGTTATCAAAAGCACTCTGCTTAATAATGTGCTTTTAACTTTTTAAGGCATTGTGGGCATAGGTAGTTACAATGCAGCCACTTCTGTTCATTTGGTAAATATGTAAACATCTGCTCTGTTCAAGCTATAGTTAGTCAAGGATGGAGCCTACCTTTGAGGATCTTAACTGGGCAGCAGGGAAGAGAAGAACTCATGTGGTATGAAGTAGGGGTTGCTGAGTGCCATCAGAGTGTGGACATGGAGGAGAGGAGAGAGTTGCCAGTTTCTCCTGGTTTGGAGAAGTGGGAAACCCCCATAGCACACTTGGAAAGGAACGATGAGTATTTAGGATAGGTCTTGAAGAGGAGGACGGTATTCTGGGTACTGTACCCTGAATCTGCACAGGCCAAGTCAGAGGTGGAGGTTAGGAGAATATGCACGGATGCTGGTACATCAGGGGAAAGGAAACCTGCCCTTGTTAAACAGGTGGGGTCAGGAGAGGTCGAGGGAGGGCTGGACACTAGACTAAGTGGTGTGGGCTTTGTTCGGGAAGAGTGGGGACTCCCTACCTAGCAGGTTTGACATTTAAGTTTGAAACAAAGAGCAAGTAGGGGCTTGCTCAGCAGGACTTATCTGGCTGATCTAGATTGTTTAGAAGAAAATTTTGTTTGTGTCCCACTGTTTTAACAAGGTGGAAAAGAAGCCCATATAGGTGACACAGTTGCAGGCTTCTCAGTTTTGTATGGACCAGGTAGATGAATTGGGCCAGGAGGGTACAGACCTCCCATTGCATAGCAGCCTTGGTCATCACTCTCCTTTCCTCTAACACTTTCTTTGTCTCTTTTTTCTTCCCTGCCCCCAGCATAATGTTGGTGGGGCAAGCAATAACAGCGAAACCTGGAAGATAGAAAAAATGTGCCTGCTAAGAGGTTGGAGTATTAGCAGAGTGTTAATATTTTACACCCACATTGACTCTTAAGGAAATACGGTAACTACTTTTTATTTTCTTTTCAAAATATAAAATTTAAGGGTCAGTCAGATTTTGACATAAATGGTGACGTTTCTGCAAATGACATTTCCAGATTACTCTGATCGTAGCTAATTGCTTCAGTGTATTCTGAAGATTTTATTTATAAGAAAGTTGGTTAGTGTTGCTGGTGATTCAGCCCAAAAGGAGAGTAGTAGAGAGAGATCAACTTCCTTCTAATTGAGATCGTGTTGTCTAAGTCTGATTGTAAATGATCCAAAAGTATTTGTTGTGTGCTTTGCACTGTGTCAGAAATGTTCGAGGTTACAGACAACAGGAACAATAACAACCATATTTGGGAAGTTGTCTACTGGCCCTGAAAAACTCCCTCTGGGGCTCACTGCTCCTGCCATTGTGGGAATTGGTGAAATCATGTCAGTTTTAGCAAATTTACTATTCTTGGTCCACAGAGATTTTCCTAGGAACAATTCGCATGCCTATAGTTTCTCAGTTCTGCTTCTTACTATTCTCATGTTAATTCATAGTTCCACTGTGATACAGAGTTTAAGTTTGAGAGAATCCATTGAGTTTGAAAGAAACCCTTAAGGGGGGGAACATTAGTTTTAAAAGATAATGCTTAATTACATGTGAACCTTAGGCACATGACTAAGAAAACAAAATGTTGAAAGGTTTAGTTTTAACATCTTGGTTTTAAATATTGGGCAACATTGTCTAAGACCTATATACCTGTTCTCAGGAATCCTCATGTCTAATTTTGGATTAAGAAGACACTCTTACACTATTTATGGTACATCTGAAATTCTAGCACCTCTTTCACCTATTTTTAGGGTGACCAAATAATGGCACAAAGCACCTACTAAGTGCCAACCAACGTAGCCAGCAAAGCACCTACTAAGTGCCAGCCACTATAGCCAGCACATGATGGGTATTTTACCATCCCACAAGGTAGGTGTCATCCCAATGACCAGATGAGAGAAATGAGACCTAAAAGGCCCAACTGGGCAGAGTGGGGTCGGGGGGTCCCCCCAGGTGATCAGTGCTGTTTGTGGCATCTGTGTGTTGCTTAGCAGTCTCATGACATGACACAATAAAATGCATGTAAATATTGCTTCCAGCTTCTCTGATTCTTAAGTAGCTGCCAGCATTTCCCTTCAGTTATTTCTGTACTCAAAGAGCCATTTTGACTTTCCATCCTGTCTTCTGGCACGCTCTCTGCTTACTTATTTATTTAAGTGAATCTCACCTTATTCCACAGAGCATTTTAGGCAGCTTGTTGCTTGCTTAAATGTGATCCAAGTCTGTACAGCCCTCCTAGGGATGCGTAATAAGGATTTCTCAGAAACAGTATTTGCATGTGTGGAAACATTGCTAAGCCAAAAACATTTACTCTGCCTAGTCTTCTGAGCACTTAAGTTTCAAGAGTTACCCTCATTTATTACAACCTTGGAGCACCAAAGCTGTGACCTCCAAGGAGGTGTTCATCAAAATCAGTCATCTGGCATGGTAAAAAATATGTTTGTAAGGTATCCAGAAAACACACACACAGTGCCAAAAAATATATATACACATTTTAAGAAAGGAATAAACTCTATTGAAATTATAGTACTCTCAATATATCTGATAACATTTGTTATCTTGTATTTTACATCTCTTGTAATTGTAAAAGTTAAGTGTGACTTGAGTATTGCACTCATAAGACTGAGCCCTTAACCTGAAGTCTGTATTAACTCCAGGTAGCACCGAAGTTGAATTGAGTGGTAGGACACCCAGCTGGTGTTAGAGAACTGTTTAGTGGGGAAGAAACAGCTCCTCACATTTGGTCATAGAAGTTTGTGGAGTGAGTATAAAAAGGGAAAAATTGTTGGTTTTTATCTATGTAGCATATGCTTTTAGATTGCTCAGAATAATTATACAATTCCATAAGGTGCAAAGAAAACATTTACGGGAGGATAATGTTAAAAACTGTAACTTCATGTTGCCTTTCTTTGAATAACTGAAGCATACTTAATTTAAACATAAGCTCCTTAATGGACTTCAAAAGTATTTCTTTGTCCATGGAAAGTTTTCCCTCTCAAAACACTGTACGCCTTTGTGAAGTTAGGATATTTACTCTGGAAACCAAATTGCACTTGGTCTGCTGACAATTAGAAAATAAACATTGTGTGGTCAGTAAGCTATATTTTTAAACTTAACTGCATGAGATTGATTCTGGAACTGGTCTCTAACAACATAACTTCAGAATGCAACAGTAGCGTTCGTTCATTTATGCACCATGCATTGGGGAAGATGGGACACTTGGAGGCTGACGGCTTTCTCAGCCTAGCAGGGGCACAGGGTGAAGAGTCTTAGTGGAAAATTACAGATGTCCAGGCTTTGAGCTTTTGGGTGTATAGGTAGGTTTTCTTTCTTTCTCTTTTATTATTTTATTTTTCAGCTTTGTTGAGGAATAATTGACAAATAAAAATTGTATATCTTTAAGACATACCAACATGATGACTTGATGTATATACACACATTGTGACATGATTATCACAATCAAGCACTTAGTTAACACATTCTTCACATAGTTACCTTTTTTGTGTATATGGTGCAAACAATAACATTAACTCTCTTAGCAAAATTCAGAATACAATACAGTGTTATTCAGTAGTCATCTTACTGTGTGGTAGGTCCTCAGAACTTACTTATCTCATGACTGAATATGTGTCTATTTGATCAGTACCTCCCTTCTTCTCTGCCTCCCCTGACAAATACCCTTCTACTCTCTGTGAATCATTCTCCTGGTCACTAATCCCCTATCAGAAGTCTATAATGGCCTCTCTGGGAACCTGAGTGGTGGACAAAGGATGCTATTCAGAAATGGCTCGGTCTGCCCCCGGCCCCTCAAGGTACTGCCTCAGTACAATTAACCTTCAGTGCTTGCTGGGCCTGATCAACCTATATCTCTCAGTGGTCTTTAAAATGAAAATACTTCTTCCCGGTTAGTATAGGGGTCAGTAAAAAAGAAAAGAAAATACTTCGACATAAAGACTTTGATGTATGTGTTGTGTGTATGTGTATCGTGTGAGCATGTGAGCGTGAGGATGTGGGGTGAATTTGTGTGTGGCATGTGTGGTTTTCTGGTGTGTTGAGCATGTATATATTGTATGCTGTATGAGTGTTGTGTGTGTTGGGTGAATGTGTGTTGTGTGTTTTGTGAGTGTATCATAAGTAAGCACCCAGTGCTTGGCATATATATTATTAGGTACATTTGTTACATTCAGAAAGGGACCTAATTCCTACCCTTGCGAAGCTTATTGTAAACTCAGAGGGGGTTGTTAATTCCTTGAGCGTAAGACCTATTTTGTGTTCATTTTTGCTGTTACGTGGAGGGAGGCAATGCTGGCATAAAGGTTAGGGGGTCGGATGGGAAAAATACATTGTGTAACCAAACCCAATTTTGTTCTCAGGCTCAGGCTTCCTACAGCAGACATTTTCTTCCACATTCGTCTTTTCACATACTGTTAATATATAACTTTCCTCTTTATTATGTTTGCCTTTCATTGTCCATCCACGCCTTGCAGAACGTTAAGCCCCACGAGGGTAAAGATTTTGTCTGATGTGTTTCCAGATATACCTCAAATACCTAGAAAGGTGCCTGGTATGTAGAATGTAATGTGTGCAGTAAAACTTCTTTAATGATTAAATGTAAGAATACATTAAAGCCTTGGTCTGAGTCAAGGTTTTTAGCCCAATATAAGTCTTACCGTGAATTCTCTCCTCACAGTTCAAGTTCAATCTCATTAAGTCTTGGCAAACAGAATGTCAGGGCTTCTCCTTCTTGCTCTTCTTGGGCCCCAGCTTTGATTTAGAATCCTGCAGGGATCCCCTCTCAGGCTGGCGTCATGGAGCTGACCCCGGCGAGATGTCTCATCCTGCTTAGTCAACGGCCATCCCTGTCTTTGGGTCCTTGTTGCACGCTGGACACGGTGTATCTACTGTGGTCTCATTAGGGGTGTGGAGCGTCAAACCACCCAGTCAAACCATGTGCTTTGCCATTGCCTGCCAAGGTGAAGCCCAGACACGCCAGCCTCCTGGTTCTTCTCCAGGCCTCTTCCAGTCCACTGGTCTTTCCAGCAACTACATGCCTGTCACAAGGCCTGGGAAGTCTTGGCAGCTTCTACTGCTCTGCTGAGGCAGCTCCCACAGCCCCGCTAGAGCAAGATCCCCCTAAGCACTGCCTTCTCTGAGGGGATGGCCTCTCCCAGGCCACTGCTGAGGGACAAGGCCACCAGACCCACAACTCAGCTTCTTCACCCCCTTCCAGACTTGACTATAAGAGCTGAATTCTTGCTTTCTCTTCTTCTCTCTCTGTGGGCTCTTCTCCCTGGCCATGTGGTAGGAAGGTCTCCACTGTCCTACTCAAGCCCTGCTTACTCTAGGTTTAAGGGTCCAGGCTTCTTCCATGACTCTTGAGATGTAAAACGCAGTTTGGGGAGTTCAAAAAATATCCCTTCTCTCAACAAAGCCTGGTCCGTTTTTTCACCGCATTTTAACATCTCTGAAATTAAGAAGCATCTTGCAATAGATAAGTTCTCCTTACTTGGCAGCATTTTTTCTTTCCTGTTGCACTTATTACAACTAACATCTTTGCACAGGCTGTTGTCTTGCTCTCTGCTGTGGTTCAAAGTGAAGCAGTGCCTTCTGTGTTCTGGCCTTCTTCTTCCTCTCCTCAAGGTGAAGGATGCCTTTTCTTCAGAGGCATGAAGGTGTTGGACACCGAGAAACAAAGGGAAACCCAACCCTGAAAGAATATACATTTGTTTCTTACATTCAAAAATATAAATCTCAGGGCATAAGATCACAAATGGGGTTGGACCATTGTAAGGCAATGGACAAGCTTCCACTCTATACCTTGAAATGTAGCTAAAGAAAAAAAATGTGTCCATCTCCCAGAGGCCTGGCCTTCTCGGAAGAAGAAAACATGTTGGCCAGTGAGTAAGAATAGCTTGGTCTTTTGG